AATGAGCATGTTCCCTAATGGAGCAGCAACGTAACTTCGAAACAATGTTAAGCAGGAGGACGTTAAGTGAGGAGTTACTGTACTTTACCTTCTGCTTGTGTGGCCTTTACTATGAATGAGGTTTTACTAGATGCTTCTAAGAGCATCTGACAGCCTGCAGCTATGGCATCCCTACTTGTAAGCATGCCAACAAAAATATTATGCTCCAGCCAAGGAGTTTTTATTTTCACACCTGTCACAGAAGTCCTTGGTGACAGAAGCAGTTAATGAGCATTGTAGACAATACCATAGGAAGTCTTTCCCTTACAACAAGGACAAGAAGCAGCTGATCTCTTTGGTCACAAGAGTTACTCTTCAGCAATATTGCAATTCAGAATTGCTAACTACCAAGTGCTGATGTCATAGTATATCTGTATGAATTACAATAAACTCAACAGATTTACTGAGGAATTACCAGAAGAGCATCGTGAGCAATTTAAGGCCATCATAAATGAAGGTCAGCTCTTAGCAAAAACACCATTGCAGGCCTGGAATACAGCCAATACTGCAACCTGGTCCATTTCCACTGTGATCATGATGCAACAAGCATCTTGGCTCCAATTGTCTGGCTTCCCTAGGGAAGTACAGAGTACTGCCAGGGACATTCCTTTTGATAGTCTCACGCTGTTCTCTGAGTCTACTGGCTAGTTGTGTCACACCTTGAAAGATTTGAGGGCCACACTTAGATCCCTTGGGATTTATATACCTGCAAATAAAAGAAAATGTAGTAGGTCTCAGACACCTCAGAGATCTTTATTTCTCTAATTTCCTTGAACCCTCTGAACCAACCTCCCCGGAGTCGTAGGCACTAGAAGAAGAAGCTATCAACTGCAATAGTTACCTCATCCCAGCCATCCATTTCTTCCAAACGCTAGTTTTGATGGTTTGATCTACAGGAATCTACAGCGGCACTATCCTGATCTCTTCCCCCCACTTTCAATATTGTCTTTCCCATTTCCAACGTGCATGGGAGAGAATAACATCTGACAAATGGGGTTTTGAAGGTTATAACATCCATATCATCCCTTCCCTACTTCCTATCCCCTTTTTTGAGGACCCATCTTGTGATCAGTTGCTGAGACAGGAAGTCACCTCTCATCTATGCTGAGGGGCCATATAACCAGTTCTAGTCCAGCACAGGGGAAAGGATTTCTATTCCAAATACTTTGTGGTCCTCAATAAGAATTGGGGATGGAAACCAATATTAGATCTCAGGTGTCTAAACAACTACGTGAAATCACAGAAATTCAGGATGGTGACAGTTGCATGTATAATTCCTTCCTTAGATACTGAACATTTGTTTGCAACTCTCAACCTTTAGGGCATGTATTTTCATGTCTCAGTTCACCTTTCTGACAACAGGTTTCTTCGTTTTACATTCAGCCATGATCGCAGTACCATGTGCTCCCATTCAACTTCTCCTCTGCCCAAAGGGTATTTTTAAAGGTTATAGTGGTCGTAGCTGCCCACTTGCATTGACTGGGGATTATTGTCTTCCCTTACCTCAATGTTTGGTTACTCAGGACCAACCTTACCAAGATGTTTTATTGTCAACAACAAGGTCTCTGTTTGACAGTTTAGACCTTTGACTCCATCTTGAAAAGTCCACTTTGACCTCAGGACAACAGATTTCATAGGAGCTTTTCTTAATGCCGCAATAGCCAGGGCTTACCTATGGACAGATTTGCGAACCTAAAAAAACAGGTTTCAATAGTTCAGGTAAGTCCTCAAATCTTGGCGAGAAATTGTCTCCAACTATTAGGACGTACATCATCTTGTACCTTTGTAACCCAATGTGCCAGGTTACATCTTGAGTGCTTCTAGGGATGGCTCAGGACACTTTATATACTGAACACGCAGTCTAGACAAGCAGTTGTCTGTTCTCTGTCAGGTTCTGGATTATTGGTGGAAGGACCCCGCCAAAGTCTGTGAGGGAGTCCCTTTCATTCAACCTCCTCCTACGATTGTTATAACATCAGATGCATCCCTCTTTGTATGGGGAACACATCTAGGGTCACACACCATCTAAGGCAAATGTCTTCCCAAGAGCATCTTCTTCACATCAACCTTCTAGAATTGAGAGCAGTCAGGAATGCTTGCACTCATTTCCTTCCACTGATCAGAGCCAAATCTCTCACGGTCATGACCTTGACAATACACAATCTACATTAATTGTCAAGGCAGAGCACACTCTCCCTTGCTTGTGCCGAAACATTAAAACTCTGAAATTGGAGCAGAGCCAACCAAATAGTCATCTCATCTTCTTACCTCCTGGGTAAACAAAACGCCACAGACAATGATGTCAGTGGGCACTTCTCCCAGAATTACGAATGGGAATTGGCCTCACAAGTCTTAAACAGCATATTTCTAACCTGGGGTGCGGGGGGATGTTCCAGAAATGGATCTCTTTGCCATGCTATCAACAAAAAGATGAAAAATATTGTTTAAGAGGGGAATTCTAGCCTCAATTACTAGGAGAGGCCTTCCTTATTTCATGGGTCAAGGGCCTTTTTTATGCATACCCACCAACATCGTTGTTCTTGAAGGTACTGAACAAGATCAAGCAGGACAAGGACAAGGTCATTTTATTTGCACTGGCTTGATTGAAACAGATTTGGTATCCTAACCAGATTCAGCTCACTTTCTGTCCACCACTGATACTTCTGATGAGTTGCTACCTGTTGCCCCCGATGCCGGTCAGACACTTCATCTCAAACTGGAACTTCTGTGATTCCAGGTGGTTCTTAGATGGTTTTCGGGAATAGAGATTTCCTGTTCAACAAGTATTGTTCTATAGCAGGAAAGCATCTACACAAAGTACTTATCTTCAGAAAGGGAAGAGATTTCACCATTGGTGTACCTGTCAACAAGTTTCTCCGGTTCTCTCTCCTCTTTCCACTGTCCTGGACTACCTGATGGAATTTAAAAGATCAGGTCTTGTTATGAATTCCTTTGACTGCTACAGTAGGCTTTCACTCATCTATGGAAGGTTTTTCAATTTTTGCTCACCCCAAAATGTCAAGGTTCCTCAAAGGACAGATGAATCTTTTCCCATAGATTAGGGAACCTGCCCCTATATGGTTCTTGAACTTCATCCTTAATTGCCTTCAGCTACATGTTTGTTGCTTCACATATCCATGAAAATAGCTTTCTTGATAGCCATCACTTTTTCCCAAAGGGTAGGAAAACTGGGGATTTTAATGGCAGATCACCTCCTTTATGATGTTTTTCAAGGAAAAAGTCTTGTTATGACCACATCCTAAATTTCAACCTTAAGTGTCTTCTGAATTTCATATTAATCAAACCAGTCATCTTCCATTTTTTTCCCCCTGAAACCACATCAGACTAGGCAGGAAGCGGTCTTCGATGCCTTCAGTGTCAGAAGGGCATTAATCTTCTATTTGGACACAACCAAACGATTCAGCAAGTCTCCCCAACTGTTTGTTTCAATTGCAGACAGATCCAAAGGATCCACAATCTCTCCCAAAAGATTCTTGGGGTGGATCTCTAGTATTGGGGTGTATTATCTAGTGTTATGAGTCTGTCAACATTCAACCTCCCTGTACACTGTTAGACCATTCTGCAAGATGTCAGTCTACTTCTATGACATTATTCAAGATGTCCAAGTCTCTGAAATTTGCAGAGCTCTCCTTCCCCTCTGCTACTGAGCATAGGGCTAATTCCATGGGTGCTCAGAGGCTCAAAAACCCATAGAGAAAAAATAGGGGGTGCTTAGCACCCATGGGGCTGGCCGGGGCTGCTGCTCTGGCAGCCCTGGGGCTGGCCACCAATCAGCTATTCAGAAGCTGGCCCTGCACCCCCATTCACTGTTAAGCAGGGCTGCCCCACCACTCGCTCCTCTCTGCCACCTCCCCCCTCACTGCCCTTAAGGCAAGAGGGGGCAGAAAGGAATGAGCAGCAGGTGGGAGGCGCTCAGGGAAGGGAGTGTCAGGGATGGGGGCGGATCTGGGTGGGCTCTGGGGGGTGGAATCAGTGTGAGGCACCCACAGCAAAACCAAAAGTCAGCGCCTATGCTTCTGAGTTTCCTCTGCAGGACTTTGTGGTAGAGAAGGCCCTGAGGGAAGCTTGCTCATACAGCTCTATATATCCACAGTATGGGGCATGAAGATGCATAGAGTGCGTGTGCGGGCTGACTGGGCACTACTACTGTGTTAGACTGTTCAACTCAGCATCTCTCTGAGGATCAGGCCTAATTTATATTGCTTTGCATGTTTGAAGTTGTTTTCTATTGTTCGTCTCTTTGGGGTCCAATACTGATCACACACATTATCCCATGTAACTTTATTCTCAGTGTAGGCTCACTAGCATCAAAGGGACTATACATGTAAGTGAAGGTTTGGGCCGCAGTTACTGTTTGGAGGAATGGGGACTTGGAGCCTAAGGGCCAAATTTTTAAAGGAATATACGTGACTACTGAGATTATTAAAAGCATCTCTGTGCCTAACACTCACTGATTTCAGTGGGATTTAATCATCTAGATGCTTTTGAAAATCCCAGTAGGTGCCTAAATACCATTAAAATCTGGCCCTGAGATCCTAAGGAAAAGGGATTGTTTCTCCTCTGTATTTACAGTAGCAGAACAGTGTCAGCCAGCAACCAATAAATAATATTTAAAATACTTAATGATAGCAAATTCCAACAGCTCACCCTGCCCTTTTCCCTCCTTCCACTCTTCCTGTACATACACCCAGTCAGGTATAATTACAAGAACACCTTGTTTTCCTCATTAACAATATGGGAAGAAGAGGTGTTCAAGATGAATTTTAAAACCCAGTTGCAGACAGAGTGAAATAAGCTATGACAGGTTGACAGAAGGCACAATTCTCGCTACCTTCATAGCCATTGAAAAATAATCTGGAAAAAACGTAATTATTATTTTGCTTTATCTTGAAGAACGTGAATAATAGTTCTGTGTGTTTATTTCTTTCCTGTTAAAGCAGATAAAAACAAAGAAAATGGACAGCTCCAGAATACCTACAAGGTCATACCTAATATCCAAACACAGGTATGCAAAAAGAATATAATATTCTCAATGTAGCCTTGTAATGTCAGATTTTTCTTCTCCCTTAGGTGCTGTAAATGGGATGAGGAGAATGTGGCAGCAGGATTGTAATATTGGAAAATCATTAAAGCCTCTTAATCAAAACTTGATATCTAAAATTCAAACACTGTATTTAAATATATGTTTTTATGTGTGCATTGACTGCTGAGGCGTACAGCCCCCTGATTTAAAAGGGACAGAACTGAAAGTTTCAGTATGTGAATCTAGACTTTGGAATTTGCTTCCCCCTCGGTCCAACAGTGCTTGAGTTTGCTGACCTGCAAGGCCTACCTACATTTTCTTGTGCTTTTCATGCGGTGGTGGCGATGTAATTGAGGCATACGGGGAAGGATTTGTTTTGTGATGGGTTGTGCAGGGCCTTCTTTTGGGTATCCTTTGGTATGATATTGAGCCTATCTGTCCATCTGTGTGTTCTATAAATATTGTAAGGGGCTTAGAGTTTTATAGCCTGATATTCCAAGCATATATTCAAGTAAGTTGTCCCATATAATTCAATATGACTTCTCACGTGGGAAGTTGCTTGTGTGTAATGGTTACAGGATCAGAGTGGCTGGGAAGGACTCATAGCTTTCTCATTTAGATAATTAGGAAATCCTAATATCGTTACAGATGGCTAGATAGGGGAGTTAAAATTGTTCTGCTAGTGTGTTTGCAGAATTTTCATGTGAATCAAAATCAGTATTTAGTATTTTTCCATATATCTTTTATTTGGCCTTTGTGAAAGCAGCCAGCAAATGTGGATGTCACATGTTCATAGATATGCATATAAACAGATTTTTTTTTTAAAAATGACATGTCTGGGACACAAATGTAAAGGAGGCACAAAACAGAAAGAGGGAAACTTGTAGTTAAATTTGCTTTAGTACCTTTAAAACAATGTCAAGTAAGCATTGCATCTCAAGACTGTTGAACAATACCCTGTCTTCTATGACATTCTGTGGTATCCCCTATTTTACAAATACAGTAACTCCTCACTTAACGTTGTAGTTATGTTCCTGAAAAATGTGACTTTAAGTGAAATGATGTTAAGCGAATCCAATTTCCCCATAAGAATTAATGTAAATGAGGGGGTTAGGTCCCAGGGAAAAAAATTTGACCAGACAAAAGAGTATATTGTGTGTGTGTCTGTGTGTATGTATGTGTGTGTGTGTGTGTGTGTATATATATATATATATACACACACACACACACACAGAGTATAAGTTATATACAAACAATTTAATACTGATACATAGTGATGATGATTGTGAAGCTTGGTTGAGGTGGAGGAGTCAGAGGGTGGGATATTTCCCTTACTGCTAAATGATGAACAGCAATTGGCTGAGCCCTCAAGGGTTAACTCTCTCATTCTACAAGGCAGCAGGAATGGAGGGAGATATGCGCATTTCCCCTTTAAGTACACTGCCTTGTTCATTAGATCAGCTTGCTGAGACCACAGCTTCTGCAAGCTCCCTCAGCTCCCTCTGACCTGAGCCCTGGTGTGTGTCCTCTGCTCTATGGAAGATGGGGTAAGCGGGGTGCAGGAGCGCGGGGAGGGGGACACCCTGACATTAGCCCCCTTTTCCTTCCCTCCTCCCCGCACAGCAAGCAGGAGTCTCGGGGAGCAGCTCCAAGGCAGAGGGCAGGAGCAGCGCATGGCAGTGGGGGGAGAGACACAGTTGAACTGCAGGCAGCTGCTGCACAGGGAACTTAGGGGAGCTGATAGGGGGCTGCCGGTCCACCCTGGTTCCAAGCCCCCACCAGCTAGCTCGAATGGGCTGCTCTTCCTGCAAGCAGTAGACAAAACAGGCGGCTGCCAAACAACGTTAGAAGGGAGCAATACACAACTTTAAACGAGAATGTTCCCTAATTGATCAGCAACATGACAACGAAACAATGTTAACCGGGATGACTTTAAGTGAGGAGTTATTGTACTGGTCACTCTGCTGTGAGACACACTACTGATTTGTAATGAAAATATTCAATACTGATGTGCACACACCATCATTCCCAGTCCAGTGGTACAAAACAAAACAAGGATGTTGATCAACTAGCAGTTATGTCACTCACACATTTACATTGTTTCTCTGCTGTGGAAACTGAAGTAACAGTCATACAACTCATTAGGTGGGGTATGTTTTAATGATGTAACCGCACAATTTCTACAAAGCCAGATTGCTAATGAGTTAGGCCAAAAGTTGTTTTTATTTTGTTCAGAAGCAATAGTCTCATTTTGGAGTGGTTCTGATTTTTCTCTGTAATGAGTGCCTTTCAAAGGCATTATTGCTGCATTTCATATATAGCAACCCTGTCATTGTGTATAGTTAGTTTTTCTTCTCTCTTTCCAACAACATTTCAACAAAACAGCTTTTGTTTCTTTTGGCAGGTTGACCCAGCAAGTTTGGCTGCGTTTTGGGGCTAGGTGAGGAGCAGTTATAAGGAAGAAAATAAATAAATAATCGTAGGGACAGTCATTCCTTTTCCCTTCATAAACAAGGGGCAGGGAATGTGGTGGGGGCTAGAGAAGAGAGGAAGGAGAGGTAGAAAAAAACCTTCCTCTTCTAGCTGATTAAAATCCAGGAGTTATATAATGTCAAGCTGCAAGGTGGAGTTCCCTCTAGATTCTCTGTCCAACAGGGAAGGGCTTTTAGCGTCAGTCACTTATTTATCTCCAAAGGAAAACATGACTGTTTTCTTAAGGCTTGTCCAGTCAGATTGAATCCAGTGCTGCCATAAGGAAAGTAACAATGTTCTAATGTCTCCCATTTTAAAATATATATTAACTTTATCTGGCTTTGGGATATAGGAACATCAGAAAGAAGTAAACAGCAGCTGCTAAAAGCTGTACTGTTATAAACTCTTTTATACCTTGGACAAAAATAGATGAGAGTTGCATTGGGTATATGACTACAAATCAAGAGACCTCTCTTCTGACAGTGGCTGCATCACTAACTTTTTGTATCACCTTGAGTTAGTCACTTCTATTTCTTATCTATCTACATTATTTTAAATGCTTCCATTCCTGTAGTATCTGAGTGCCTAAGCTCTCTGTTTTATTTTCTCAGTCTGGAAAATGAGAATAATAATATTTGCCTTACTCACAGGTGTGAGCATCATTTAGTTCATGATTATAAAGTGGTTTGATAATGTAAAACTCTATATAAATAGTAGGTATCACTTTGGCACTTAAATACTGTGGTGAAAAAATGCCTTTAAAATGCCTGAAGTAAAAGGTACATCAATATTTGTCAACTCAAAATAAAGGTTTGCTATCTTAGATTCAGAGAGAAAGAGAGAGAGAATCTGTTATGGTAGGCATTGTCAGAGCTGTTACACGTGGTCCTCCAAGTTCTCTTTCTTAGCATGTGAGCAAATGTTCAGTCTTGGGAGAACATGCTGTGTTGTTAGTTTTTGTTGTGCATGGTCCTGTATAGAGGCAGAGGTCCTTAAAGAGAGGATGTGCAAGCAGTAGGCTCCCTGTCTTGGTCTCTGACTAGAGTCAGGTCATGAGCAGAGTTGCTCTTTGAGAACTGGGTATTGAAGTTACTCTGAAAGACTGGATTGCCTGCATGCTGTGTAAATATCTGAGACACCAGACCTGAAATCTGTATAAATAAACAAGTTACACTTAGAGTACACCCAGACTTTATGTCACTGATTTCCCCTCTGTTGGGAAGCTGACTTGTGGGGACCTGGACATCTGTTACCACTCAACAGAGAAAGGATGCTCATGTCAGGATGAAACAGTGGTAGTGGAAGAAGGGACAAAAATAGATTTGATTTAAAATAATGCTGGAATTATGTCAATGCCCACCTGGATTTTAGCCCTGATCCTTCAGGAAGCAATGCTCTTCATGGGAGGTCTGATTAAATGAAAATGACAGTGGGTTGGGATCCAGATGTCAGAAGAAGCAGGGCCCAAAGTTATACAACTAGCAGCTTTAGAGATGCTTTAGCAAGTGAGCATCTGAAAGACCAGACGTCGGTAGCAGTGGTGCTGGTGGTAAACCTTGCTCACTAGTAATGGGAAAATACTGAGCATTAAGCAAAGAAAATCTTTTGAGTTCCTCAGTAATGACCATGATGTAGACTTCTCCTTGAGTCCACCCCAGGTTGGTATTGAATCACAGTTGTTACTGGGTGACGGCTGTTTGGTGGCCAGGCTAAAATGAGAATGGTGATCCCAGGCCACTTTTTAGTAGAGAAGTGCTCTCACCACAAAAAATGCCACCTTATCTGGCACAGATTTGGATCCTTGTTTCACTTTTTTAAACGTATTTCTAATTCTTTAAAATATGCTTATATCTTTGGGTTCAAAATTAAAACAATAAAAGACCAGTTATCAATTTTTTTCAGCTAAAGGCACGGACTTTTACATGCTTGACATCATATGCGTCTGGTACAGTGCCTAACACAATGAAGCCCCAATTTTGACTTGACTAGAGACTGGCATATCAATGAACAACACCAGTTAAAAATCAAACAGTGATAGCAAATTGTTTATTTTCTTGTGTAAGGATCTGGACTCATGGTTACAGTCATTTTAGTATATAAATCTCAGTGACTTTTGTCAATTAAAAATAAAAAATCATAGGAATACACAAGTCTGTTTCATAGTAACAACAGCTGGACTCACTAAGCTGACCTTTGTTCACAGCATTGTAGAGAAGAAGTTTAAAAAGGTTTACTTGCTAGCTGCTATGCATTGGTATTTTAAATTCTGTACTTTACAGCTGGTTGGCCTCGAAACGTGATGACTAACACTGCTGCTCTAGCCTCTATCACATTTTCCATCTATTGATTGTCTTTTGGATACTGAGATGATCCGTGAGGATGTTATACAGAGAGAGGATGTTTAGGAAACATAGTATAAATGATGTTGGATGGTCACCTGAGTGGAACCATTGCGGTCTCCTGATCAATCAAAAATTGTACTTTTTTCTGCTTGTCACAGCAATATTTGA